TCTCCCTACATCGATCTTTTTTCCCAAAAAATTGGGCATGAAATTAAAACTCATCATCATGACTTTTCTTTTCAATAAATAATATTTAAAAACTACTCATTATTCAAATTTAAAAAAGAAAAAACATATATAATTCAAAAAAAATAATAATATATACCAATTTGGTATATATGGAAATTCAATATTCTTGGCATGGTATGGTGGGCGACCCTCTTTTGGACTCTGGCCTATGTACAGACGCAAAGAAGATCCATATTAAAGAGGTAATAAATTCTCTACATCGCAGCCTAAAGTCTTTTTTTCCTCATTCCTCACATCCAACGGCTCACACAAATCCTCATCAGTCCCGATTCAATCCTGACCGTCCATTAAGAAGACCTTCAGAATTTTAGGCTTTTTGGGGTGTAGCCTAGCCTAGCCTAGCCTAGCCTAGCCTAGGTGAGAAATTAATATCTTGTGTGACACTCATAATTTCTTCTATTCAGATTCTCTCTCTAAAAAACTCTCTCTCCCTCTCTCTCTCTAAAATTCTCTCTCTACTGTAATTTATCTAGCAAAACAATGGTAATGCCAATTTGTTTTATTAATGATTTTTTTTTTAGTTTTATTTAATTAATTCAATTGGTAAATGCCAATTTTTGTGACATTATTTTATTATATTAATTTGTACTATTATTGTTTTTTTTTTTTGAATTTTTAATGTTTGATTAATAATGTAGGACTATACAATGTTGGTGCCTCCATGGCTAGAGAAGCTCTTGGGCATGACTTTTTTCGACACGTGTCGAGTTCACAGCGCGGCTGCTCGGAGCGAATGCAATATGTTCTGTTTGGACTGCAACGTGAATGCCTTTTGTATTTACTGTCGTTCGTCTAAGCACAAAGATCATCAAGTTATTCAGGTTTGATATTTATTATTATTATTATTATTATTATTATTATTATTATTATTTATTTATTTATTTATTTATTTATTTATTAATTATAGGTTATAGAATAATGGCAATAATAACGAGACGTTATGAGACTTCTTTGTGTGTTTGTGTGTGTGAGTGTGTGTGTAGAGTTGTAACTTGTAATTATGTAATACAGTTTTGCTATGGAACCATCGGATGGCTCGACTTATGGAACCATCCACACTTACTCACCAATAATGTATTGACACGTGTTCTACAATAAATACAATTTGGACAAGTTGTTCAATACATTAAGTGGTGGATGACTCCACAAGAAAACCATAGAATTTTTGTTATGTAATATACTATTATCTTTTTGTCAATTGTCAAATGCAGCAATTTTCAATAAAGATGCTTTAATATTTGAAAATTTAGTGGAGAAATTCGTCTTTATATTGTTTTCATATATTGGTAAATTTTATTTATTTATTTTTGTGATGATGATGATGTTGATATATGTATTATATATATATATATGTAAAGATAAGGAGATCGTCGTATCATGATGTGGTGAGGGTATCGGAGGTTCAGAGGGTTTTGGACATAAGCGATGTGCAGACGTATGTGATAAATAGCGCGAGGGTTTTGTTCTTGAACGAGAGGCCTCAACCGAAAGGTGGAAAAGCCGTTTCGCATTTGTGTGTGATTTGCGGGAGGAGCCTCTTGGACACCTTTCGATTTTGTTCTTTGGGATGCAAGGTAATCAACTATCCGTCTCGAAAAATAGTATCTCTTATTAGTGTATATGGTATTCGCGGCGTAAAAATTTGGTTTTTGGGTGCAATAATGTGATTAATTGTCTAATCAGATCATCCGATTCACATGAATTATGCACGCGAACGGTGCTTGTTATGTTTTTGAATAGTCATAAAATTGTGTTGTACGTTGTAAATTGCACGATACAGGTGAAATACGACGGAATATTTATAATTGTGTTATATATTGTGAATAAATTGAAAATGAATCATGACCCACACACATAAACCATCTCCATCACCATCATATATAGGAAGTTGTAACAAACTCAATGCAAAGTAGCCATCATATATATGTGTGTAACAACTTTACACACCCTGGAATTAGCTATGTGGTTACACCCCATGTTGCATTGTTACTCAATTATTAATTATTTATAATAGAAAAGTAAAAAAGACAGACCACAATTGAATACATAGCTAAGCCAAAAGAGAAAAAGTTGTTGTCCAATTTTATATATCTTTCATTTTTTCTCATGAAAGGTTCTTGTTTTCACTATAGATTTAAAAAGATTCTACGGTTTCGTTACTGAACTATTCCCTGGAGGTTTGTAACTATTTCGCGGATAGTTGATCTAACAGTTACAAATCCCGACATAATGGTTACGTAACGGGAATGTAGCATTTCCCATAGATTTATATGCACCATTGGTTATTTGAATGTGATTTTCACATAGTTAATTAACAAAATGAGTGATTTTCTTTTCTTTTCTATTTTTTTTTTAAATCTTTTCAACTTTATGTTTGAATGCAAGTAGCTTATTGGAATAAAGAGCAATGGTGATGCAAGCTTTTGCTTAGATGCAAATAGTTATGAGGCATTAAATCAAAGAGAGGATCATCAAGGGATTTCAAGAAGATTATTGAACAATATGTCATCATCATCAAGAGAAGATGAAGAATTTGGTGAGGGTTCACAAGATAATATGTACCCTACCACACCATCCCCACCTCTTAGTGCAAGAAGAAGGAAAGGCATCCCTCAAAGGGCACCATTTAGTTCTTAAGATACATATATATTCTTTGAAATTTATACAATTTTATTTCATGTAACATCTTTATTTGGGATCATTTAATTGGCCCTTTTCATGGGAAAAAAAATAAAATAATATATAGGTAAAGTTTTTTTGTTTTTTTCTTTTACATTTACTTTGTAAAAAATAAATATGAGAATGAGTTTTTATTTATGTACTTATTTTTTTCATTTATTGAAAGAATGTATATTAATGTTGAATATTAGTGTTATTTTTTCATCTAATAAGGAGTTTAAAATAAGAGTTTAATCACTATTTAGTTATTATTAATGGTTTTGATAGGTGATAGTTGAGGATGTAAAATTATGTATTAGTTAAGAATTTTAACTAGAGCTGGAAAAGGGCCAAAAGGCCCTTTAGGAGTTTACGTTTTATAGTTCTTCGGGCCCACATACAAACGTGGTGGTATGGGCCGTCTAAGTAAGGATAACTACTTAATTAATTTGTTAATTCAATAGAATTGAAGATTATTTTTTCAAGGAAATTTTATTACAAGGCCCAACTTTTTGTATTTGTTTCAATTTAAGTACTGAATTTTATTCTTTCTCAATAGAAGGCTTACATTTTGGAGTATTTTTAATTTAAGACCTACTTTTTTAGTTAACTTTTCATTATAAAGCTCAACTAACTTTATTTTTTGACATAAATATGTGAACCAATTATTATGTGAACAAAAATATTATTATTATTTTTTCTTGTAATTTATATTTTACATACTAATAATGAAAAAAATAATAAGTATGTTTTGTAAAAATTACATTAATAAGAAAATGAAACTATATAAATTACAAATATGCAAAAGTTTAATAATTATTATTTTTAAAAATTGATAATTTTAAAAATATGCAATTAAAATTTAGTAATTGTAAAATATAAATTACAAGAAAAAATAATAATTATATTTTTGCTCACGTAATAGTTGGTTATCATATCTATGTTAAAAAGTAAAATTAGTTGGACCTTATAATGAAAAGTTAACAAAAAGTATGCCTTAAATTGAGAATAATATAAAATGTAAGTCTTCTATTAAGAGAAAATAAAATCCAGGCCTTAAATTGATAAAATTACAAAAAGTTGAGACTTGTAATGAAATTTCCCCTTTATTTTGCTTAGATTTTTGTAATAATTGTAGAGAGACCAATGGGAGGATAGTTATTAAGTTATCTTGTTTTTTAATTTTTTTTAAAAAAATTATATTATCTTGTTTTTTTAAAGTATATTTATATTAATAAATATTATACAATTTGATTAGGTTTGTCTAATTACAATTATGTAGTTTAATTTATTGCCTATAACTATTATCGAACTTTAATCTTGTTGAAGTTATAAATTATGATGAATTTATTTCATATTTAAAGAAAAAAATAAAGGAAGTGTGTCAGGAAACTTTACAGATATTCTTAACTAATTTGAGCAATCTTGTTCTTGTGACAGCAAAGTCTACAAGCCAACAAAATTTCCCTTTAATTTTAATAACTTGAAGCTTATAGTTATGAGTATAAAGTTAGGTTTAAGGCATTTTTTTTCCCTCAATTATTGTGATTATGATAGGATGGATCTCTATATATATGTGTGTGTATAATGGTGTTGAATTCTATTTATCAATAAAATTTGGTGTTATGTTTTATCTGAAATAAATAATAATGAATGACATGTCATGCTAATGGTATTCTTATGTTTGTATTGGTTGTGATGTGATAATTAGGAATTATATATTTGTTAGGATATTGTTACTAGTTAAGTTGTTTGAAAAAATTTGCATCTTTTTACATAAAAAAAAAAAAGATGCTACGGTCCCGTTACGGAACTATTCCGTCGAGGTTTGTAACCGTTAGACCAACTATCTCTGACAGTTACATGATGATCTAACGATTACAAACCCTGCCAGAATGGTTCCGTAACGAGACTTTAGCATTTCCCTAAAAAAAGAGATAGATACAAAATGGGTTGCAAAAATATAAATAAAAAATAAAACTAGTCATTGCATGCCATTATCTAAGTAAAATAATTCTTTTCTTTGGATAATAAAAGATGGTAACACTGAGCCCATTATGGATTTTATAAAATTGAGAAATTTTTATGTATACTACACAAAGTAATTGCAATATTACAATTCATACTAATTTCATTGAGTTGCCATAAAATCGGTCCACATTTATTGCATGTCGGTAGTTTTTTTTAATTTTTTTAATTTATTAACTCCAAAAATCGATTAACCTTAAATGCACCCTAAAATGATGGGTATTGTAGATTTAATTTTGGTAGATTTCGGTAGTATTTACGATTTTCTAAAAATCAAAATCCTTTCTCAT